ATTTTCATGTAACTTTTTTTTTTATAAATATGTAAATGCAAATTAATTCAATAAATAATGTTTCTTTAAAATTTACATTCATTGTTTCATGAATTCAAGATTGGGGGGGGATAATATCGACTTACGCAATAATATTTTGGGGTAATGGTTAAAAAAGTTCTCCGACCGCTGAGCTATATACTCGATCCTCAGATCTTATCCTTAATCAACTGTACATTCATCTAATCATAAAGCAATGTGAAGCAAATTGAAGAAAACATAATCATAGTAACTTCTCCAAATAACAATAATAATATACAGCTGAATACTGTTTGTTGATTTCAATTATCATCGATTTTTTTTTACGTTTTTTTTTTGTTTTCGTCTTTTGTTTTATTTTCCGCCAACCAGAATTATGACGTGGCTAAGATTGTGAATGAGAAGGGCTGCTTGCAAGCTGTTGAGGAATGGATCGAACGGAATATGATTTCTTTAGCGAGTTTTGCAATTATTATTTTATTTTTCCAAGTGAGTATCTCCATCGTTCGTTTACGCTTCTTTCATGCAACAAACGAAATGCCATCAACTACTATTGCTTGATTTTGATGGCATCTTGTTTGGAATTCATTTCAGTAGGAAAATAAACTCATTCTAAATGTTGTCAAAGATATTTGTTTACTTTAACGACGTTTCGTTGTAGATCTTGGGTATTTGCTTTGCGCAAAACCTGCGGGCCGACATCTTCGCCCAGAAGTCCAAATGGCATTGACACCCGAGGGCTCCCACGGCGGTGTAGTACAGCCTTCCGTGTCGCATCGCGTGGGAACCCTTAAATTTCGACCAACTGGACTTCGTTTGATCAACCGCATCCATCCAACGCAAACCAACCAACAAACTCATCATTTCCGGGAAAACTCTTATCCCCACAACTCAAGAAGAAGGAGAAAAACAAGTTAAAAGTAAACTAGTTATTAGTGATTTTAAAGACGAGGTTCTTTCACAGCCTCATTGTTGAAACAATATATTTTGTAAATTGTATAAAACCGGAATTTGTCTCCGATCCGCGGTTCGATTTGTCTTGTTTATTGTGAGCCGTCGATCGGAGTTTGGTAGTTTCTAAGAGATTTTCTTTTTTTGATATAACCGATCGGAACGAATCCGCGCGTCAATCCAGATTTGTGCAAATTTTGGTTCGTTCCATCGAGGTGGAGGAGGAGACAAAATAATAGTGAGATATTTTGGAATACCTTTGCATGTAATTAACCTTTCTTCTCTCTGAATAGAAGCTCCTATTATGGTAGAATAGTTTTTTTCTTGGGAGTTCGAACCGGACAAGTGAAGATGAAGAATTTCGAATCTTACTATAATAATAATAATGATATTTAATCCTCTTGATATTACGGAACGTACTAATTAAACATGTGATATTTTCTTTCTAATTTAAATTAATTAGATTTTTGTTGTTTTTTTTTCTCTCTTTGTACTTTGTCCTCTTGTAATATTAGTTTTGTACAATTGTAATCAAACGTGTGTATATATTATATAAAAAGTCTTTTGTTTCTTTTGTACAAACGTACTCGTATTTGCCAATTAAAAGTATTAAAAAAAAAAAATTGTATACATTGGATATTGTGTATAAAAGAAAAGAATGAAAAGACGCTAATGATTATTATTAATGATAATTAAAAAATAATTTATATTAAAAACGAAGTCGGCTTCTTATATTCACTACGAAAACCTTTCTTCTTATTTTTTTTCCTCTCGTGCGTTTCAACGTCAAATAATAAATAATATTTGTTTTTTTTTCTTATAAACTAGAGATTACGTTCTTAAACTAAACTAGATCACATCTCTAAAAAAAAAGAAAACAGGAACGAAACTAGGAATAGAAGGTGAGGACCGATTGCTGATTTCCTCGGATTAGAAGATACGGAGGCAAATCTTTCGTCAGGGCTTCGAGCCAGGCCATGTACAAAGGCGCCGAAACCGTGCCTTTCCTAGGCATTGGCAATGACCTAAAAAACGTTACAATCATATAATTAAAACGATCCGAGGAATATTTATAGCAATAACTCACATCACAATAAGATTAGAATCTTTCGAATTCTCAAGAAGCAATTCGCGTAATCGCAGCTGCCTGTAAGTCTTCTCCTGCAGAGCGGCCAACTCAAGCTCCGTCACTTTTCCTTCTGCAAATCAAACATTAATTATGTAACAGTTGATTAATGTGAAATTTACCTTCAGCTGTAGCGTCTTCGACGAGGAAGCCTTCGATTAAATTATCGAAGAATTCTATCGTGCTAGCTTTTGGTTTATCCGAGATTTGCACCATTTCTAAACTATAATACTTAAGCCTAAATTTCATCAGAAGATCTGCCATGCTATCAAAAGGAAATGTTGTAATTAAGTAAATTTAAGTTTTTGTAAATTGTTTGCTTCTTACTGTTGCTTGTCTGTTTCGATTTCAGCTTGATTGCTGGTTAAAGCAAACACTCTTAGCTTGCAATTAATCCAATCCTGTCTGCAGGAAATGATGTAGGGTAGAAGCATGGTGAGACCACCGTCGTCGTAAAGCCACCAGACATCGATGATGCCTTTACCTTGCTTCTTCCTGAACATCGACATGCTTTCTAAAACGGAAGCAGGAAGCTGTTTACCCGTTGGCGAAGTGAACAGGATCTTATCGATTGCAGTCTTCTTTTTGCTCCTCAATTGCGCGGAGGATGTTGAACCCTTCTTATTGACGTTTACGCCGTCTGTAATCATTGGAATTGTTGTTATCGCTTTTCGAGATAGTCGAGTTTTTTTGTTGTTGTCATTGACTTACTTAGAACGGTTATCGATTGCACAGAATCCGATACCGAATGGTCGATGTGACTGATATTGAGATTGGAGTCTGCATGCATCATGCGAGTAGCTGCGAACGGCCTCAAATCAGCTCTCGAAGGAGGCTGACTGTACGTAATATCCGTACTGTGCGTAGCATCTTCCTCTTCCGTTATCCTGCTGTAATCCAAACCGTCCGGTACGCGAAGGATGGCAACTGAAAGACGATTATCGAACGCAGAACTGGAATTTATGGGAATTAATTAGTAATTGGTCATTTTGGAGTTGCAGTATGAAATTTACTGTAGCACGTTGAAATACGCTGTTAAATCTTCCGGTTTCGAAATCATCCAGTCGTTTTTGTAGCCCATCATGAGCACGTTCGGTGCTAATCTGCCGATACCTGAAGCCTGGATCAGAGCGTTGGAACCTTGCTCGAAGGTTATGCCATCAACCACGGAGTAGAAGGCTTTGATCTTATTCTGCCTGAACCATTCGTATGCTGACCTCCTCTTGCTCGATCTGGCGCGATACGACAACTTTTTCTGCTCGACCCAACGATTAAATACATTAGCATTTTCTAGTTCACACATAATTATATACGCGGCTTTACCTCAAGAATTTCACCGACGATGAGGAGCGAGTTGTTTTTCGTGATCATGTTTGCAAAATCCAGGAGAGGAGGACGCACGTGCGGCGAACCGCAAAGGATCAAGATCTGCGGTTCGTAGTTCTTCACGTGCTCCCCGATGTTGATCAAACGGTGAGTGGTAGTCAAAGCCGTTTTGTACGTTTGGGCTTGAGTCGAAGATCCCCAATTCACGTCTTCAACAACAACAACAAAAAAACAATTATAGATATTATAGAAATGTGTGTTAATTGGGTAATTAGTACCTGGTTTTCTGTAGACGACGATCAGGTAAAGCGCTAAAATTACGATGAAGGTGATCAGGGACGATTGCCAGTTGATCAAGAACATGATCACCACGCACATGAAGAAACCAGCCAAACTTAACCAGGTGTTGTAGTACTATAATCGTTTAGAATAAAAGTATAGTTTAATACTTCATGAAAGGTATTTCAGTTACCTTGAAGGTAGGTCTCCATCCTAAGGGTTTGATGAGTGCTGCGTGGAAAGTGCAGAAGTTGATGAGAGCGTAGGAGGCCAAGTAGAAGTTGGAAATCAGCGGAGCTATGGCGTTAAGATCGGCTGAAAGGCAGAGTTTAAAATTAGCCGAGGAATTCGCGGAAAAAGTGAGTATCAAAGCGACATATTTCCCCAATAAGATAAATATTGTTGTACTAAATCATTCGTCGTGCATTTCAAACACGCGCTGTTTACTACTGCTTTGAACATAAGCTGAATTTTTCTTATTTACCGATGAGAACGAAGGCGCACGAGATGAAGAAAGTGAGGACGTAACCGCGGTACGGTTCTCCCGTTTTCCCGTATCCCTTCGAGAAGAAAATCAATCCTGGATAGATCCTATCGATTCCGAGCGCTTGAAGCAGCCTTGGAACTGATAGCAGATTAGTTAGAGCCGTGCTCAAAGTAGCTGCGAAGCATCCGGCGTAAATCAATGGTCCCCAAGCGGACATCAATTGCATCATCTGCAAAAATGTAAAACGTTAATAGAAAGATCAATGATCGCGCAAAGGGAACTTACGGAATAGCTGTTGAAAAGTCCGTGGTGGCAAGAAAGATCTTTTACGCAATCGGTTAAAGTCCCATTCAGCAAATCCTCGACGCTTCCGCTGGCGTCCCGCATTCCGGCTCCCCCTGCGAAGATCACGAAAAGAGCGTACGAAATCATACTCAGCAAAAGAGCCAACAAAGTTCCTTTCGGTATAGAAGAAGCCGGATCCTGAAATATAAATTTATTAAAAATCAGTTTATGTATATTACTTCAACGTACTTTAAGATCTCCTGAAATGTTAGCTCCGGCTTGAATACCGGTGACGGATGGGAAGAAAATAGCGAAGACTTGGAAGAAATCGTATTCGATGCCATCTTGCTTACGATACGAAGGGTTGAAATTATTCTTGAACGTTTCGTCTAAATAAAAAAGAAATCGATTAATTAATCTTCAGTTGTGTGTTTAAATTTCATCAATTTACAGCTGAATCCGTTGAATCCTTCGGCTCTGGACTTTTGGGTTTGAGGACCCATCGAGGTGCCCACTATGAAATCGACGATGGCTCCAAGAATGATGGCGATCAAGAAGTTCTGCGCTTTGCTCTCCCATTCCATTCCCACCGCGCAGATGATGACCATCACCAATAAGGCAATGCATCCGACGAGTCGCACATCCATAAGATCACCATCGATGATCTTCAAGTCGTAACTACTCAGAAGATCGTTCAGAGAGTTGCAGAAACCTATGGTGTTCATCGAAGCCGCAACGGCGTTAGCGAACGCAAAAACGACTCCAACAGAAGCCCCGAATTCAGGTCCCAAAGACCTCGATATAATATAGTAAATACCACCTGAACAATCACAAAAAATTAATTGAATCCAATAAAATATCAAAGAAATTATTCTACCTCCTTTGACTTCTCCATTCGTGCTTATAGCAGAGAGAGATAAAGTTGTGATTACGCAAACGATTGCGGAAATAGCGATGATCAACATTGTACCCCCTATGAAAATAAATTGTGAAATTAACTATAATTAGCAAATAGTTCAATTATTTACATATTCCTGATTGTGCCACCACCCAGGATAAACGCAAAAAGAGCATGACACCCCAAATGTTGAGGAGGCACGGTATGAGGACCCCTTGGATCCATCCCAATTTGATGCCATGACCGGACGGGATCTGTGCCTCAAGATTCTCCGCAGTTCCATTCGCTTCCTGGAGACGAGAGTGCGAAAAGAATTCGGATATTAGTTTTAAATCCGAAATTGTTTACTTTGGATTTAATGGACGTGCGTTTATGTTATTTCAAGTGGTTCGTACTTGTACGAATAAACTCTCGAAAGTTCGCATTATTGCCGAATCTTAATTCACTTTTTATGGGATTTTAATGTGCGCTACAGTAGGATACAGTTCGAGATTCTAGAAATATTTGTAGTTTCAAGTTTCAATATAATATCTACATTAATTTCAAGAATTTTCTTATATGTATACAGAAATATTTAGAAAACATAATATAATTTAATGAATAAATTAATTGTTAAATATAAATTTGTAAATATTTTTGCTATAAGATGATTTTCCAAGAAATTATAAAGTTCGCATTATTGCCGAATCTTAATTCACTTTTTATGCGATTTTAATGTGTGCTAGCATACAGTTCGAGATTCTCGAAATATATGTAGTTTAAAGTTTCAATGTAATATTTACATTATTTCAAGAATTTTCTTATATGTATACAGAAATATTTAGAAAACATAACATAATTTAATGAATAAATTAATTGTTAAATATAAATTTGTAAATATTTTTGCTATAAGATGATTTTCCAAGAAATTATAATAACAAATCCATATGATATTTCCATTACCATCAATGATAAATCTGAGTCTATATCGCAAGCCCGACAACCGAAATTGAAATCCCGGCGTTAGAAATCCCGACTATATCAAAATCTCGACAACCATAATCCCGACTGTATCGAAATCTCGACAACCATAATACCGACTATATCAAAATCCCGACTGTATCAAAATCCCGACTATATAGAAAATTTCTACAATAACATTTTTAAATTATTTCGGAGCAATAAATTATTATTAATTTCTTTGATTTTGTTGAATTATTCATGATAAACCTTCACATTATGAAATAATCTCAAATAAAATTAGATTATTAATTGTTATTATTTATTATTAATAATAATAAAATAATAATAAAAGTCACTACGCTTCGGAATAATTTAAAAATGTTATTTTAGACATTTTCTATATAGTCGGAATTTTGATACAGTCGGGATTATGGTTGTCGAGATTCTGATACAGTCGGGATTTTAATATAGTCGGGATTATGGTTGTCGGGATTTCGGTACAGTCGGGATTTCGAACGTTGGGATTTCAAACGTCGGGAATTTGATTACCATCAATGATAAATCTGTAGAAATTTACACTATTGTTAAAAGTTTTAGAGTTTTTATTGTTAAAAAAATAAACTGAATCGAATTTATGAATAATCCACGATTCCTCCGTTTATTATCATAAGAATACATCAGTTTATTTTGAAGACTTTATGCCTTTGAACTAAACGTATTTTTGAAGATTTTGATCGCGCATTTCCTTACATGAAGCGAAATTATCAGAAATTCGATATTAATTGTGCAACAATTTCAGATCATTAAGTACGCATAAACAAATTAATTAATTAAATTGATTATAATAATTTCAATTGATTGATTAAATAATTCATTTCTAAAAAATTTTACATCATTGAATTTCGAATACATTTTCTTCCTTTATTTCCTTTGTCTTCAACTACAAAATATATTTCATCATTTTATCGCCACAAATAAGTGTAAATAAATTTTAATGGATTTAATTTGTTTTGATCTGTAAAATTGATTTGAAACAAACAGAAAAAATCGAATTAAATTAGTGTTTGTTTCGAAACCGCGAAAAAGAATGTGTAGAAACTATTGAAACTCGTTTATTCGATTTCAGGTGATTAGAAAAGCGAAACAATTGCACTCTAATAGCGCACTAATTGTTTTTCTAGTTATTCCAATCAGATTAAATCATTATCTACATCGATCGTACGAACACTTGAACTACATTTTTTTTTTGTACGAATCAAAAAAAAAAAAGTGTATCTATTACTTAACTATTGTTTAAGAATTTCAGTTATTTGCAGAATGGTGGAATTCGAAACATTTTCACCTTGGAAAACAATTCGTAAAAGGAAAAATTGTATTCAACTTTGAAAGCAATTAAATTTAATACCTTGACGTTGTCTTCTCCTCCATGCAATTCGCCTAGCGATGGTCTCTTCAGAGCTCTCCTAGAATTCCTGTAGTTCTCCAGTCTGGGTAAAGCCTCCCTGGTCATCTGCACCAAAGATTTCTTCCTCTTCGGGGTGCTTTGCGTTGGAGGATGAAGGCACGTCGTTGATGTGCTCTTAAGATTCCCGTTGGTCGCGTTACCATTCTCTCTGAGGACCACCGGTCCGTCGACAATCTTCACGGAGAACCGTCCTTCCATCGTTGTAAGTTCCTTTATTCCCGTTCGTGTCCAGAAAAACTACATTACTCTCGGTATTGATGAAATGCGGTTCGCGGTTTTGGCGGAAACTGAACGGAACGGTCAACCCGACAGCTACTTAAGTAGCTACCGCCGATTGACAAAGCGTCGATTCCGACCGCGCGCAAACGCCAGAACACATTTATTTATTTACGCCTCTATCCTTCCTATGTGCACTCGATGGATGCGATGATCCTTAGTAAACAGTGGTTTCAGTACAGAAAAAAAAAACTCATCCAATCGGAATTGCTAACGCCGGGCGTCGGTTGCCAAGAAATCCGTCTTATTTCCTTTCACCAAAACGACGATCCCGAGAAAAAATACTTCGCGAATAGTTTTATTGACAAATTGATGAATCTATTTGGGAGGACGACAACTTGTTGCGATTCGAAGCATTTTTCGACAGTTTTTCCCTGTGATTCAATCCGCTTTATTTATAGACACATTGACATACCTCAACGATGATTTCCGAACGAATTCAATTTTCATTTCTTTTACTAATTCTCTTCCCGTTTTTTTTTTTCATTGCAGGAGCGGCCGCCGGTATTTTCATAATGGAAAATTGCATGATGGATCGCCGCCCCGCGCAAATATTTGCACAGAATGATGATCATTTTCATTACGTGATCGACATCGATCCAAGAGCACAAGCCTAGGTCAAATTGCCTTTTATCTTTGCAATAATCGTTTGAAGAAATCTGATTGTTTCCAACAACGATAAGCTATTTGTTTTACATAACTTCCTAACTTTTTTTTCTCTCTCTAGTAACGTCCACTGATAACTATCAGAATCGAACGGTTTTATTTGCTCTAATATCGTGCATTCAGCATTGATAATCGTTCAGAACTTTAATGAATAAACATTCTAGATTGCATTTGTGTATTATTAGATCATTTCAATAAACAAATATCACAATTTAAGTATTTAAGTATTTAAAAAAACAAAGTGCGTTTAATTCTCAAAAGCTTTTATGTAAGATCATAAAAATCATCAAAATTTTATCATTTTTAGGAAGTTTAATTTATAGATTTTATAACAAAGCAATTGCATTTTTCGCATGTAAACGTAATACAATCAACTCATTCTTTTGTAAACGAACGTTTTTCGCTATTATCGAAATTACCTAACCATTTTACATCCACATTTACGTTACTACAAATCTATTAAAGTAAAAAAAAATAGTGTTTTAACTTTCATAACTTTAGTTGCTAATCATTATTTCATAAATTTCTTATCTAAAATTATATGAAATTGAATATTTTATTCAAAATTTCATCTAATTTCGCTGTAATTTTATTAAATGCAGTTTATTCATTTTAAACAACCAAGAATTAAACAGACAATTTTATTGTGTTGATGAAGCAATTGTTGTTTTCTTATTATACAAATATTTAACACATTTTTTCCATAATTTTTAAACTTTAAGTATTTTTATTACGAAATTTTTGTTCAATCATACTTTTGGTGTAAAGGCCAAACTTCTTCAAGATTGTTTCAAAGCTAAATCCAATCAAATTAGACGTAATTTTGTTGCTATGAAATTGCTAACAAAAAAAACAGATTTTTTTATGTAATTATGCTAAAACTATATAAGATATTATGTGTAAAATCTGATTTCATTTTTAACGATACAAATTGTAGTTTAACAACTAAAAGATATAAAAAACATAAATTTAATGCATTTTTGTGTACAACAAATACAAATAATAAGACTTGAATGCACGTGATATGTTTGCTGTAGCGAACAAAGCAGTTTCAAATGGAAAAATCAATAATGTTTCGCACGTAAAAAAAATAGTTTATTTCATTTCGTACCAAAAATTTGTATCTTACCAACAAAAAAAAAACAACTTCTTCTACTACTTCTTTAAATCTGATTAACAATAGATGGATTCAAGGATAATAACGTTTCTGATCCATTTACCAAAACGCTTATATAACTTCATAAACTTTATACTTTTTTTATGGCGAAATTATTGTAATAAGCAAATAGAAGAGAACTGGAAACATTATCACATGACAAAACGAAGAACGCAATTATGTTATAAATAAGCAACAAGTCCTTAGCAATTTTTTTTTGTGTTATTTCCTTTTTATCTTTCGGAACGAACAAACATATTTCTTTGTTACTAATAATTGCATCGCGATGCGAAACTCGTTAGTTTTTTTTTGTCCTACACATTGTCGTAGAATCGCATAATGCACGAGCATTCTATTTATTTACTTTTCGTTCTGTACGTTATTGAAAAATAGTTGTTTTTCTTTTTGCTACGATCATTGTATACTATTTTTTTTTCCGTTTGCTTTTCAAAAAATCATCGCGCTTTGTGACGTCCGCTCATTACCAGGTGTCGTGTAAATAAATATTTTAATGAGTCTAATTTTTCTAGTAAATATTTGTGGTATCAATCGCGTCTATCAAAAGGAAAAAGTGTTAATTTTCTTGCGCGATGTTTCGCGCGTATAAAACAACACATCCCTCGGTATGGTCTCTCCGCGGTTTCGTCATTTCGAGGATTTTCGTTTGTTGAATCGTATCGGGGATAATAAGAGATTCTAGAATACAGAGATTTAACAGCAGGACGCGTGTGAAACGAATCACAGCAATGTTTATGTGCAGTTGTTGAATTGCCCAGTACACAAATAATGTAATACAAATTTCATTAATTTTAGAGAAAAAAAGTAGTAAATATTCATTATTTGTAATGAAAACATATTTTTAACAAAGAAAATTTGAAAACTAAAAACGAGGAAAACTAGTTTTAGTGGACAAAAATTTGAAATTTGTTAATTTTTAGATTACGAACTTAACTTAAAACATGAAATTATGAAAAATGTAAATGTCAATGTAAATCAATAATTTTATGAAAAAAAAACTACAAATAAGTAATAAATTTGAAGAAAAACTTAATTTGTCTAGTGGACAAAAATATGTTACTTTCAGTTTACGAAAAACTAAAACATAAAATTATGAAAAATGTAACAGCTAGGATGACATATAGATGGCGCCTCTACCAACAAATCCATAAGATTTTTAGGAAGTACCAACCTTCAGACGACGCCTGTCAAAATTTCATGGTAATCATACATTTAGTTCACAAGTTATGGTGATTTGTAATTTTCAAAACAATGGAAAAATCTGAATTTCGTGTGTTGATAAAACATTGCATTTTGATGTGAAAAAATAACGTTGAAGCATAGCAAAAGCTTGATAAGTGTTTTGGGGACTCTTCTCCGTCGAGACAAGTGGTTTGTTGATTTTGAACGTGGTTGTAAAGATACAAATGATTTGGTCGCCCAAATTCGGCAATTGTTGCAGAAAACAAGAAAAAAGTCCACAAAATGGTTTTGACCGACAGTAAATTGATGTTGCGTGAGATAGTTGACATCCTGAAAATATCAGAAGGCAGTGTTTTCACCATTTTGCATGAACATTTGATCATGAGAAAGCTTTGTTCGAAATGGGTACAGCGTTCAAGCTCAAAGTGGATCTAAAACAACAACGAGTTGATGATTCCGAGCGCTGTTTGGAGCTGTTGAAGCTTTCAACAATGGATGAAACCTGGATCCACCATTAAACTAAGAGTCAAATCGGTCATCAGCTGAGTGGACAGCAAAGGACAAAAGCCATATTTTGAGGCCAAAGATAAATTGTTCTACAAGAAAGGTATCGAAATATTAGAGAAGCTTTGGATTGAATGTATCATTCTTGATGAATAAACACGAATATTACCCAAAAGTTGTTGTTTTATTAATAATCCTACAGAATTATTGAGTGAGGTGTTAAGTAATTGTATATAATTTGTAAAGAAAAAAAAATAATAATATCAAAACTCATAACTTATTTACATTCATTACAGCATAATACACCACACCTGAGGTTAAGTACAAGGATACGTGTAGATTCTAATGCTATACACAAACTTCCCCGAGCACAGAGCAATAACAAAATTCAACAAATCCTCTTGTTTTTCTTCTTCTAGCAAACATTTTATTTTTTGATAAAATTAACTTAATTGGAAAACGTCGTGCGAGTAATTCCCTTTTATTATTATTTTCGTTATTCGCGATGTAATAAAAAAAAAACTTTCTGTTACAAAGCCACAAAAGCATTAAAACAACAATCAAGATTAATTTAATTGAAAACTTATTTTCTTTCCAGAAAGAAAAAAACATAAACTCATAGAAAAATTAATGTCAAATATTTTTATTACTAAATTAATGAATATCAAGAACATAGTAACAATAAAATTGCATAAACTATTAACATTAAACAAGAAAAGTCTAGAATTTTTGCATAAGTATCATAAGTTATATATTTCTTTCTCAATAATCAAGTAAGTTTTGTTTAATTTTTCTTCGTTCTGTCTTATGTTTCATATTTCATTTATTTCAATTAATGTTTAATTATTATTAAGTGTACTTTGTCGTGGCCGAACAATTTGTTATCATCTATTGTATAACTAATATGTATATTTGTTAGTTCTACCACTTTCCTCTTAATTATTACAAAGCATATTTAACGTATCCATCAAATATACAAACGGATACTTGTACGTGATTATTTAGAATAACTTGTGGAATATTTCGAAGGACGGTTACTTATTAAATCGTATTGTCGTGTCACCACTTAACAGCCTTCTTCATCCCCTAAATATTTGGGTAGGATCATAAAACTTAGATAAAGAAACGGTTGTATGTTCCAAAAGCTCAAAAACTGATTTCCTTAACTCCCACGCAACCTTTTTTTGAAATGAACACATTTTTGTATTATATAATTTAGTCTTAGCTAGAGGGTTGAACTGAGAAGTTGGTCTTACTTGAAGAGTCCAAGGAAGAGCACTTACTTCTTAATTACTAACTTAAGAGGAGAAGGTAAGTAATAATCCATGAGATCAACTCAATACCAACTCTGATTTATAAAACTAATTAAGAATATTGCATTTAATATTGATAAACCACTCTAAGACTCCACAACTACGAGATAATCCACAGTGTCCAGAGATTTCTTAATCCCGGGACACGACAACATAATTTGTACATCATTATGTAAATTCTTCGTACAAGC